GTTGGTTCATGAGATTTCCTCTCACTTTGTATAATCGAAAACTAGAGGTTTCTGCAGCAATGTGACGATTCTAAGCACAAGAAAGGGTTTCTAGATTGACTCAAAAAACCAATTCTACTTAATCACAGCTTTATGAATGATCAGAAACCCTAACATAGTTAGCACAGGCCTAGGGAGGAAGAGGCAGAAATACCTTTGACAAGTGACGAGATCAGGGTCATGAGCAATCCCCGAAGCTTCTCCGTCGGCAGCGAGACGCCGACCGAGCAAGGCGGCTAGCGACGGGATGGGATTATCTCCGGCGGCAGACCAGAGAGTGAGATTCTTCAAGTGGCCATGTCTCAGCTCAGACTTGAGATTAGGTCCTCCTTGAGCTCTTGTAAGCTTATTAGCTCCTCGTTTCCCCATAGCCTCAGAGAGAAAATCCTTTGATCGGAGGAACTCCGATTAAAACTTCTCCGGTCGGAGCGATTTTCTCAGTTCGATTTCGGTGGGCTTCGGACACAGGAAGGGAAATTGCGAACATTAGGGTTCTTTTGTTGGATTTACCGTGAAGTTATTGGGCCTAAACTGCGATATCGAAATTATTATTTACAGTAAAACCTCTATAAATTAATAATGTTAGGACCGACCACAAGATTTTATTAATTTATTATGACATTAATTTATTTATAAATTAATAATTATTAATTTATAGAGGAAAATTATTTTTCGCTCATCTTCTTCTTAAATTTTCTTTCCAATAATGTTATATTTAAGAATCTAAACTTATATGCTTATAAAAATGACATATAAAAATTTAATATTATGATTACTAATCATAGTAATCACAATAGAATAACTGTTAATTGTCTATATAAAAATATAAATGTTCATTACTACAAGATTTATAAAAAGTGTATGGCTATTATCCTTGATGTTGGTGCTGAAATTGAAGATAATACCATAATATATTTCAAAATAATTATGCGTAAAAAAATTAATTATCACATCTAAATTTTTTCACAAATTTTGAATGGAGATAAAAAAAAATAACATTATAAGCTATTAACATAAATAGATAAAGAGTTGATTTTCTATAAAATTTCAAACTTAAATAAAAATAAACAACACATTAAACACAGTCTAGTATATTATATCTTACATATATATATACATGAATTTATATAATTATTAATTTATGTTTATGTTGGGACCATATATTTATATAAGGATTTAAAAAAATTATTATCTTTATATTTATATAATATGAATGTTTTGACGACCGAGGCAAAGAAAGATCTTTTCAAGAGCTTCAAAAAGTTGACATTTTTGCTCTCTTCGGGGTAACTTGAATAATATACATGAGATCATATAAATACAAGTAGAAAGTAACTTTAATTTCTTTATGCCACATGAGTATTTTACTTTTTCTCCAAGATTCTCGTATTCCTTTTTTCCTTTGTGTTTCTTTTTTTTTTTTTGTTCACGTAGCATTAATTATGTGTGTTGAGCTGTGTTAGTTTCGCACATCAGGAGCTTCTTCTTCACCTTGACTATAAACTACAACACACCACTTTCAAGTTTCGATATGATCCGAACCCAATAAATGAATTTACAAATTAAAAATGATGTTAATCGATATTGGTTGGAATGGATCCCTATATCTTAAAATTCAGGATATTTGAATTCGAACTGTATATCTATCCAGATTCGATTTTGTGGCTTCTGAATATCGGACTTCTTCTATTATCCGTCCAAAAAAATACATGAGCATACACAGTGGTGGACTCAGAATATTTTTAACCTGGGTCAATTTATCAAATAAAAAAATATATATATTAACATGGAAGAGGGTCATCTGACACCTCATAAATTGTTATATAATTAATTTTGTACAAGAATCTATCAATTGGTAAATGCTACCAATTGAACCCCTTAAACCCAAGATCAAACCCCTGGTATTACCAATAAAATGGCGGAATCATTGACACTTTAAGAAAAAAAAATATATTAATATGCAAAGTGGTGAAGTCGATTTTCTTAAAGATTCAGTTACTTGTTCGGTTTTTCTTAAGTTTTCGTGATTTTACAATGCACTTTCCAGCCCACATGCTTGCATCAAAATCGAATGAAAAAAATAAGATAAAATAAAATACAGAACCTTTCCTTGACCAAAAATAAATAAATACGGTAAAACAAAAGTACAGCAACTACTTATATAAATAACCACATTAAAAGTAGTGTGACAAAAAAACACATTAAAATATGAAAGAAACATAAGCATGAAGCAAAATTAACAGAAGTAATATTTTTATTTTGTTGCTCTTATTCAGCTTGAACTTTGAACATGCAAGTTACAAATCTTATCATAAACTCAAAAATTCAAACAACGAAATGCCCACAGCAAGAACCATTCCCCCAAGTATATTATTATTTCCTGTAAAAAAAAAAAAACAAGCAACATTGGTCATAATACTAATAGAAAAGGTAAAAATAAAAACAAGAGAGAAATAATGTAGTAGTTATATTGTCCTTTGTTGTCATAGATACATTTCTTTATTTGAAACTTAAAACTGTTAAATTGAAATACTAGTTTTAAAACCAAAAGTTTACTACAATTTAATAAACGATGGATCGTAGTGAGAAATTAGGGGTCAGGGGTGGCAAAATAATCCGCAACCGAAAACAAAAAACCGAACCAAACCTAAAGATGTAGTTAAACCAAAACCTGAACTTTTTTTCATAAACCGTTTAGTTTCATTATTTAAATATATGAATATGAAAAAACTGAAATCAAAACCCTATTTTTTTAAATACTCTATAAATGTATATAACTCACCTCTAATCGAGAAGGAACCGCTGCGATTCGGCGGTGGAAGCGGCGGCAACGACGAAGTTGTGGTATCAAAACTCACCAAACATTTGGGAGTCCAGATCATAGCCCAAAGCTGATCACTACAACAATCGGTGATTTCTTGCAACGCAAGTTTCAGACATGCGGTACAATTTCTAGGATCCAAGTAAGGAGTACACTGAACAATACTCAAGATCATACAAATTTTCAAACCTAGTCGTATCCATAAGATAATATGGAGTAAGTGACGAAGACAACATAGAAGATCTTACGATAACTTCTCCCATTTTTTCAGACAACCTCTGTTTAAAATTTCCAAATGATTTGGGTCTTGGATCGATAGACGCCCAAGAGGTACTAGGAACTGTTTCTAAGGTCGAGAGGAAGAACTTATCTGAATAACGAACCATACAGTCGAAGTAGTAAATGATTGCTTCTCGATGGTTAGAACAGTTTTTTGCGATCTCGATCGTTGCGGTCTTGACGCAGGCGTTGCAAGTTGTTCTGTTAACGTCTCCTGTGCATAAGAACATACCATGGACTGTCTCTGAAGCTTGACCGGTCGTGAGGTTATAATAGTTAGCGAGCGATGATAGATTGCTAAGAGTGGAGAGAAGAGTGTTGAGATTTGTGTGGTAAGTTGAGTTGCGAGAGAAGTTTCCTGATGATTTGACGCAGAAAGTTCCCATGTGGTCGGATTCGGACACCGTTTTGTTAGTGGTGAAGAGAAGACATAAGAGAATAGAGAAGCAAAAGAAAGCAGAGAGTTTCTTTGTTGTTGCCATGCTTTTACTTTTGTGGTTAAGAAACCAAGAAGATGAAGAAAATGATCTCTGATTTCTATTGTAGAGATGGTAAGTCGTTGATTTAGCAATCTTTCTTTAAGAAATCGTTTATTTACTTTGTCTTTCTTTAAGTTTTCTTTTGGTCTTTGTTTAAGTTGTATATCTTATAGATTTTTTTTTTTTGAATTTCCTTCGATTCTCCCCCAAAAAGAGTTGACTAATGCTAATGGGTGAGGATATTTCAAGTGGGGATTAATTAAGGGGAAAGTTTAAGTACGAGATGTGAAAACGAAAAAGAACACAGTACCTATGTGAAAAATAATAAAACGACCTTAAAACCAGATAATGTAATATTATATTGTTCTTTATTAAAAAAAAAAAGACAATGCAATTAAGAAAACGATGTATTTATATAGTAAGTAGTTGCCATGTTTTGGCTTCAAGAAAACAATTGGCCATTGACTCATTGATTAAATTTTTTCTTTCTTTTGGGTCAATCATTATTTTAACCTCGTCTTTGTAAATGCGTGAGTTAGTGCAATACTATATTGCCAGAAAATTGATAAATAAAACACGAAATGTATTTAAGTAGTGACAACTAGTTAAGTTGTTATTAGTAAATGTAATTAGTATAAGAGATAGTTTAGACAGGAAACATAATAGCGCGTAATGTGGTATATCATTATTTAAGTAGCGATCAATTTTAACATTTCCTAAGCCCACGATCTATAGAGACAAATATCTTATGAAGGACAGTAAACTCCTCGGGGGATCAAGACACGAACTTACTGAATGTATACAGGGGACCCTATATACAGAGAAAAAGTCGTTGATTTAACAAGTTCTGTGGTCTTTGTTTATGTTATATTGCCTTTTTAATACGATAAAATCTTACACAACTTTGTTTTTTTTTTTCCTTTGATTGATTGATTCCCCCGAAAAAGTTGACAAAGCTGATGGGTAAAGATTATTTCCAAGTGGGGACTAACTTGAGAAATGTGGAAACGTTAACTATATGTGAAAAATGTAATGCATTGAATGACCATAAAAACCAATTTAAATTAGGCGGAATGCAAGGCTCTGCTAATGTATATTCAAAGTGTTTACTTAATGGGAATGAATATGGTTATTATTGAAGGAGTTTGTAAGACTTTGGTCCAATGCATCAATGGAACTATACACTCAAAGTAGAGAATTTATGGAAAGACATCACATGAGAGCCTATGAAGAAGTTCGATAATTTAAGTTTTATCTTCTATCTTCCCCGTTGGTTAACTCCTTCGATGCACAATTACTTTATATTCTCTCAAATTGATATAATGTAAAATACCATTTGTCGAATAGAACTATGACTTTCACTTCTCACATAGATCATCAAAATATCTTTTTAAGTTAAAAGGAACAATAGTATCAAGAAGCATCATTGCATAAAAACTTCTACAAAGAGAGATATATTTACTCTACTTTTCCCCAAAATTTATGTAACATTTAACAAACAGCAGATCACAAGAGAAAAGGTATCTTGAAGTTTGCAGCACTAGAACTCTTGTTTGTCTCAGCTGTCTCCTTCATACTTGTCCATGATTTTCTCTTCCTCTTATTTGATGATGGACCAACTGTTTTCTCAGGAACGCTTTCGGGCTCAGTCCGTTTCTTACTTTTGGGTTTTCTTATTCTCTTCTCTCTCTCCAAAGTAAGCATTGGCTTTGGCGTATCCACAAAACCATTCTCCACCTGATCTTTCTCAGATCTTTTGGGTGAAGAAAGCATGTTACTTTGGGTCTCTTGAAGCAACATCATCTCTTTCTTGTTCTGAGGACGTGAACGAGTGGGTTTAGGCTTGGGCGGGCAAATCTCTTTCATCTGACCTTTCGCAGTTCTTCTCTTGAGATTACGGTGAGAACAGAAACAGCAATAGTAAACTACATTGTTCTGAGGCAAACAGATGTTAGACTTGTTGCGCCTGTTGTTGTGTTTCTTCTTCTTGGAGGAAGAAACCTTTTCGATTCTGACATTGCAATTGAAACCCGGCTGAAGAATGGTCTCACACCTACATACAGAACAACCTTTGAATCATTACATATGATCCAATCCTGATAAACCCTGACATTAAAAATGGAAAAGATTCTCTCTTTGTGAACACTAAGCACTAGGCAATTAAAAGCACTCTTCTGCCTTTAGTCAAAGATACTCTCTGTTAGCACAAATAGGCAATGGAAGCATAAACAAACGTCACAAACACACAGAACAATGTGTCTTCTCACTTCGTATAATCGAAAATCAGATGATTCTGCAACAATGTGTCGATTCTAAGCACAAGCTAGGGTTTCTAGATTAATTAAACAAAAAAAAAAACCAATTCTACTTAATCAGGAAAGATCACACCTACATACAGAAAAACCTTTAAACCACTACATAATCCAGTTTTGATAAACCCTGACTTGAAAATGGAAAAAGATTCTCTCTTTGTGAACATTAAGCACTAGGCAATCAAAAGAATTCACCTTTCTTCTTCCTATAGTCCAAGATATTCTCTATGTGAAGAAATAAGCAATGGAAGCACATATAAAAGTCACAAAAACACAGAACAATGATTAGTTGGTTCATGAGATTTCCTCTCACTTTGTATAATCGAAAACTAGAGGTTTCTGCAGCAATGTGACGATTCTAAGCACAATAAAGGGTTTCTAGATTGACTCAAAAAACCAATTCTACTTAATCACAGCTTTATGAATGATCAGAAACCCTAACATAGTTAGCACAGGCCTTGGGAGGAAGAGGCAGAAATACCTTTGACAAGTGACGAGATCAGGGTCATGAGCAATCCCCGAAGCTTCTCCGTTGGCAGCGAGACGCCGACCGAGCAAGGCGGCTAGCGACGGGATGGGATTATCTCCGGCGGCAGACCAGAGAACGAGATTCTTCAAGTGGCCATGTCTCAGCTCAGACTTGAGATTTGGTCCTCCTTGAGCTCTTGTAAGCTTATTAGCTCCTCGTTTCCCCATAGCCTCAGAGAGAAAATCCTTTGATCGGAGGAACTCCGATTCAAACTTCTCCGGTCGGAGCGATTTTCTCAGTTCGATTTCGGTGGGCTTCGGACACAGGAAGGGAAATTGCGAACATTAGGGTTCATTTGTTGGATTTACCGTGAAGTTATTGGGCCTAAACTGCATCAGCGATATCGAAATTATTATTTAATTATATTTTATATATATTACATTTATCTCAATTGGGTCCATAGCTCAGTGGTAGAGCATTCGACTGCAGATCGAGAGGTCACCGGTTCGAACCCGGTTGGGCCCTTTTCATTTTTAAACAATAGTTTTTTTTTGTTTTTTTTCTGATTTTTGGTTTATACAGTTATACGTGCTGTATAATAGAGTTTCTACTTTCTTCTATACTGATGAAAAACATCTAAGCAAATCCACAATTACACAAGTTGTATGTTTACTAAATTAATTTTGAATCCATGATCTGTTAATGAATTTTAGATAATTATTCGGTTGGGCCCTTTTCATTTTTAAACAATAGTTATTTTTTGCTTTTTCTGATTTTTGGACTTATACAGTTATACGTGCTGTATAATAGAGTTTCTACTCTTTTCTATACAAATACTGATGAAAAACATCTAAGCAAATCCACAATTACACAAGTTGTATGTTTACTAAATTAATTTTGAATCTATGATCTGTTAATGAGTTTTAGATAATTACCCGGTTGGGCCCTTTTCATTCTTAAACAATAGTTAATTTTTGCTTTTTTCTGATTTTTGGGCTTATACAGTTATACGTGCTGTATAATAGAGTTTCTACTCTTTTCTATACAAATACTGATGAAAAACATCTAAGCAAATCCACAATTACACAAGTTGTATGTTTACTAAATTAATTTTGAATCCATGATCTGTTAATGAGTTTTAGATAATTACCCGGTTGGGCCCTTTTCATTCTTAAACAATAGTTAATTTTTGCTTTTTTCTGATTTTTGGGCTTATACAGTTATACGTGCTGTATAATAGAGTTTCTACTTTCTTCTATACAAATATTGATGAAAAACATCTAAGCAAATCCATAATTACATAAGTTGTATGTTTACTAAATTAATTTTGAATCCATGATCTGTTAATGAGTTTTAGATAATTACCCGGTTGGGCCTTTTCATTTTTAAACAAATGATGAAGAGTCAAAGGCCAGAGAGTTTCCGTTCAACTATTATATACTACTAGATCACAGAGTGTTTCTTTTGCTTTCAAGCATTGCACCGTCTTTTAGAGAAGCGTGAGCTTCGTTCTCTTGACCTAGAGCTGACAAGGCTACAGCTTGGAGATAGGATGCGATATGCCAAGCAGGAGATATGACTTGGGCTTGCATTGCATCGTTTAGTGCCTCTTTAGGCATCTCGTTCATCAGGTAACACAGACTCCTTCTTGCATAAACAGTTGGAGAAACCATTGTCCCTACCTCAATGAACTGCAAACAAAACCTTAGGTCAGAAGCGTTTGCTGATGGTCAAGGACTAAAACTCACAACAGCGTAAAAGATTAACCTGAGAGAAGCATTCAATGGCATTTGCAAAGTCTTTATATCGGAATGCAGAATCTCCTTTTTTCTTAAAGATCAGAGTGTCCTGCATCTGGTTGGTCCACATCTGGAAAGAAAGCTGAAATTTTGCAGAAATGAAGGAACAAGCGAATATGTATCAGTTTCCAATAGCGAACAAGATCAAAAGAACACCAAAGATGCACTATCGAACGCAACCTCTGTGGCTGCACCCTCGTCATCTTTATATCCAAGCTTTTCAATGATCTCATGTATAGCAGTTAGATCTGATCTTAGGCATGCTTCTCCAAGTGGTGAAAGAGCCGTGGTCGTCGCACTGTGGGGTATGCCCATCAGTTGATGAGAAGCAATCTACATGATTCAAATGTTCTTGTTAAGTCTCAGAAGTAAGTATACGAAGCATCAAGCTTATCTTTCTAGTTGTGCAACTGTTTGCTGATACAGAAGAAATAGAAGCCTCTATGATTCAGTACTAATATATAATGATCAAAGCTTGCTAAGCACCAACCTCAAGATCCTTCTGAAGAGGAATCATTGCAGAGACTAAAGATTTTGGGTTAGGCCGCTCTCTGGCCTCATACTGCAAACATCTTGAAGCTAAACGTATTAGTTCAGTCCCATCGTTACTTGAAAATTGGCCTTCCAAGCATGAATCCATCAACATCTGAATGTTCCTGTCCCGAATGAGGTCCAACGCCTAGAATACACCATACAAGGTACTCAAATTAGCAATATTATTCAAGGATATTAGATTATGACATTCTTCTCAATATGAGTTCTGGGAGATTACTTCCAAGTCAGGTTCAAGTAATAGACACTAAGAAAAGTCACCAATTCAAAAGGATATTTGGAAACCTTACATGGCTAGGAGGAATGTGTTTTCCACTGAGAAGGTCAAGCAACAGAGTTCCAAAGCTGTACATCACACTTTCTGGCGTCACGCTACCTGCAGAAACAAGCACAGATCCCGATAACAAAACCGAAAAGCGGCCACAATCTAGATAAAAGCATTCATCATGAGAATCGCAGTAAACAAATTAGGTGTTTGGTCAAAATATATACCAGTTCTCAGATACTCAGGAGGAGTGAAGGCCAGGTTAGTGCTGTAACTTTTTCCATCTCTACTGTTTTTCATCAAACCAAAGCATGAAAGTCTTGGATTCGCATCCTAAAAGAAACGAAAAAACATAAATTAATTTCATTTGCATTGGACAAGAACCAAAGGTACAACGATATGTATCGAGCTTACATCAGCAAAGAGAACTCTATAAGCATTTAGGTCATGGTAAAGTGCACGTCCTTTGCCAGTACAATACTCTAGCGCCTGAGCAATATGTAAAGCCACTCTTAGTCGCATCGCCCACTTCATTGGTTGTGACTCCCCTGAAACACATAAACAATATCTTTGCTAAGCACAACCAAATAGGAGAGAAAACTTGAATCCAGTATCCATATACACATATCAATTTACGGTAAGTTTGCAACTTACAGTGGAAAAGATGTTTTGCCAAAGTTTCATTAGGCATAAACTCTGCCACAAGTAGTCTCTCTTCACCTTCAAAGCAACATCCAAGTAGACTAGCCATCCTATGATTCCGTAACTGACCAACAGCTTTGGCTTCTTCCTAATCTCACAGATAAAGGCCAAAGAGGTTAAAAGTTTCTTATTACAAACTGGGAATTGTTTAACTTTAAGCAAACACAAATACGTATAAAAGAAAACAAGAGATCCAGAATATGACAACCTAATGAATGGTTATTGACTTAGCACAACAACAAGAAGCTTCACCAGATAAATCAACGAGATTTGCTTACCAAAAACTGACGAGAATCAGGCCAAGCTTTCCTGTTAAATCTTTTAACAGCAATTCGTCTCTGATTCTCAAGCTTCCCTTTATACACAACATTTGGAGCTCTCTCTCCATGCTCTGAAACTATATTCTCTACTGAAAATCCTGAAGTAGCGTTCCTTAAAGTATCGATAGAGAATTCACGAAATTGGGGCAAATCATCCGATTCACCTCTCCTTTCCTCATCTAGATTAATCCAAGAACGACAAACACAAGAATTTTCAATCATCAAAAAAAAAAAAAGTCCTTAAAAATTGTGTCAATGGCTACTTACCTAAGCCTGTAACATCAGGATTCGATCCTCCAGACTCTGAAACGCAGCAGAATGCAGATAGCTTCGAGACCTCACAGCCCATTTCCCGAAAGTTTCAATTTAACCATAAACCTTAAACCACTCTCTCTTCTCAATCGAACTTTTTACAGCTCAATCCTCAAAGATCGGAACTTGAGCTTCAAAACGAGAACAACACAATAACACAAATCGAGATCGAATCGTGAAAATGACTTGTCAAAAAGAGGAAACAAAAATTCGACCCGAAAAGAAAGACAAACGAAAGAAGACGAATCAGAGCGTCCGTGCGTGTGTGCTTGAGCTAAGCAAAACCCGAGAAAAGAGAAATCTGAAATTTTTCTGCTTTGTCTGCTTCAACTTTCTCGGAAACAAAGCAGAGAACTTTGCCACATAATCTTTTCATTTCCCCTTTTTACTTTCTGAAATAAAGTTACGATTTTTATTTTTATTTTTTAAAAGAAAAAGAAGAAAACAGCCTCTTCAAGTCAACTGAACAGTAGGTCAAAATTCTGAGGAACCAAATGTATCAGAACACAAGTCGACTCAAAATCCCAATTCTAAAAAAGTTTACCACAAAATACAAAATTTTCCCTTACAAACTGCAGAAAAATCTCTACTTCAAGAAATCAAAATGTATCAGATGAGTCTAGCTAAACTAAAGAAAGGACACTAAAGCTCTAATTGGTAACATGTGGCAGAATTGCATTTTTAAATATAATTGTGCAGTTTTTTTGCCAATCAATAAAAATTTGTGGAATGAGAAAATACACACAAAAACACAGACTACATGTATGCTTAAAAAAATATAAAGTAAAAATCATTTTGCAGAAAAGCGGCTTATAAATAACTTATTCCGCAAAATTTTTTCCGTTATTTCGTCATTCCGCAAGTTTACCAATCAAAACCTAAATAATTTAGTTGACCATCGATGATGGTTTATTATGATCAGATCCACATATTTAAAAACGGATCTTGACTTGTGACACCAATGGCTTTTGTACGCCTTGCGCCTAGGCCTAGGACCAGATAACCGCCACGGTTTGTGGATGCTTAAAAGCCGCCTAAACAAGAGTTGTGCACGCTTACTCTTCCTTTTTTGGTATTATAGTGTCTGAGCTATGGATGGAACCCAAGATGGCCAGCTTCTCTCGCAAGTATCTTCTGACTATAGCTATGCGATCAACAACCTTACCCTCGCACGAGTCCTTGTACCTTATGTACAAGGTTGCATCATAGGCACCAAGTATCTCATGCGGCTCTAGGTCTTGTGGTGTAGTTTTGATAGCCACTTTGATAATCTTCAACTTGGACAGATCATGACGATGATCTTCATAGCTCCTATTAGTTGTGGCGACTGCAAGTTCCAAATACAGACGAATCCAGTCATTGTCTTGTACCTCTGATTTCTTCAGCTGCAAAGAAAGAAACCAACAAAATATATATATTCATAATTTATCACTACTAGCTAGTTGTTGAATATCATGTGGTGAGTAAAAAACCTCGTGTGGTGATCATTATTCAAACCTTACCACGTAAAATCGTTTGAAAGGATTGAAATCTGGCGGCGACTCAAGTGGCATCAACTCTGAGATGTTGAAGCTACTCTTACTTATGTGGCTCTTCTTGGTTTCCCCTGTACAAGAGCAAATTATTAAGTGAGACTAGCTAGCAAGATATAACTTATCTGTTGTATATACAATATGTAAATGCAAAACCATAACTGTATATATTACCCAGAGGTCTAGAAATGGTGCAAGTCAAGACTAATAGTTTATATTTTACTTCGTTAACTAGGGCCTGGAAAGTCTGAAGCGAACCGAAATCATCAGGATCTTTGGCTTCCAAAGTTATGTAGTAAGAGCCAGGAAGAGTAAGCGTGGACTTGTTGAATTTCTTGACGTGGCTGAGCTCTAAGTTTTTCCCCTAAATATTATTGAAGACCAAGAAAGAAAGAAAGAAAGAAATTAATCTCTCTGAGCATGCAATATATATATCATCGATCAAGACCAAGCTACCTGGAGCATGTTGTAACGATGAAGGCCCAACCTAGCGTAGAGGACAACTAAGCCAGGACAAGGTTTACGCTCATTACAAATGCGTTCTTGAAGTCCTCCAAATATGGTCGATGGTCTTAGACCACAGATATCGAAACGCTAATTTAATAATGAAGAAGACCAGTGTTATTATCTACATTTGAGTTGTCGGAATAAATCCATCTACGAACGACTGTATTAAAAAAAAAAAAAAACAAAAGTAGGCAGATGATGTAAGAATCTTACATCAGATTTATGCAAAACATCATAATAGTCCTTTCTGACACCCGCAAGCCACTCCCGATACTCTTTAGTTCCTGGCACCGGACGCGACGGGATCTTCATCTTAGAGCGGCTGTTGCTTTTGCTCGAGATTTAGGGTTTCAGACCATCGTAATTGGTCATGACATGCTTAATTAGTTGATTATAGCTTAATCATATAATTAATTAACTATAATCATTCAAATCAATCAATTCCGGTTTTTGACTAATTCAAATTAGGATTTCAAAAATACCGGGTACCTAAACCCCTTGATCCGAAATACCTGACCAAACCCGAAATTTAGCCTCATCATAATTTTCGTTGAGTGGAATCTGTTAGATCGTTGAGGTTATACACGATCTCATTGACTTAGATTTGAAGATGAGAATTATTTTGCATATGGGTTTAGCTTCTTCTTTTTTTTTTTCTAGTTTGATACTTGAAAAGAATATATATGTTCTTAGATTTATTTATTATAGCTCTACTTGTACTGGTTATGCAGATACTTAAAACATTTGGGTTATGAAGTTAATTTTGTGAGTAATTTCACAGACTTTTTTCTTGTGGTGTGGTGTGTATATGTCTTAATGAATAACTCAAAGCTTCACTGATCATCCTGAATTTAACAAGAATCTTCCTGTTTTTTTTTTTAATTGCGGTTTAAACCTTTTATTCAATTTTGATTTGCCAATATTAAATGCAACTGATCTCTGCAGATAGCAAAACGTGCTAGTGAGAGTGGAGAGAACCCGTTGGAGTTTTGAAAAGGTATGTTGGTTTGGTAAGAGATCTCTCATATTCTTCCTTCTTTTCTTTTTCATGTTTGGTCTACTTAAGCGCCTTGTGTGATACGACATGAAATTGGAATTATCAGTAAGGTGTATATGATCCATATGATTTGCCTGTTATAGCCCAAACATGTGCTGCATGTGAAGAAGATGGTGTGAATTACTGGTTGAATTACCTTAAAATTCATCAACGCTCTTCTTGGCAAGCTCAAGGTTTCTACTTTTCTCTTCTCCCAATTCTTTTGTGCATCTTACATTCACAATTATGTATACCAAACTTGTATGCTTTTTCATCATTTTTGGGAAAAATGAAAAACAGTAGTGGATGTCGCTGCTTTAATCTCTCGTTAAGATTGAGAAACCAGCTAGGAAAGTTCTTGATATACTTGGTTTGCTCACTACACTGATGAGCAGTGCCGAGATTTTAAAAGAAATGAAACAACAAACACTAATAAAGAGCAGAAGTGAGGAAAGAAGCTAGTTCGTGAAAAATAGAAGAAAGAAAGTATGAATTGTGGTGCGGAAGAACAAACAGTTTGAGAAAAGTGATCAGATTAGAGCAGAATTAACAGTTAAAGGAATAGCATTAATGGATATTGGCAAAGAAACTGTGTGACGGCCATGCTCCCCTTCTCCGGCTAATTCCAGCGACTGGGCAAAAGAATAGAGAGAGCTTTAGAGATAAGTTAACGCATCAAAGTCAAAAAAAAGGCTCTTTCTTTATAGCTCTGTTTACCACAAAATGTGAATTACCTATATCTAGCGTAACATATCTTTAAACTTTATAGACTTAAATGATCACCATCTTACATTGCAAAGATTTGCTTGTGTTGTGTGAAAAATATGTTTTCATGATAATCGGTAAAATTACTGGTGATATCTTAGCTTGTGACATGCAACTTTATACACTTGTGATAATTTTACGATATACTCCCTCCGGATTTATTTAGTTGTTTACACATAGATTAAAAAAATATTAATTGTATTAGTTTTTCAATATAAAAACAACATTAATTATCTATTTAAACATAATTCAACCAATAATAAAACAAATTGAATAATAAAAATAATCCTAAAAAATAAAAAAACTAATAAATGTTGCATTGAAAACTGAAAACGACAACTAATTTAAAACAAACAAAATTCTCTAAAACGACAACTAATAAAAAACGGAGAAAGTATAAATCTCTATCAGTTATACTATTAGGAAAGAATATACTTGAATATAAGAATATTCCTATTTGGTTAGAATAGATATTCTCTGTTACTTGTACGATAAGTTAAAAGTTTCCCCTATATAATAATGTAACCGATGGAATAAACATAATTGATTCAAAGGAATACACAATCTTAACATTGTATCAGAGCCTCCTTTTGGCCTGTGCTAAAATTGCTTTAAACGCCCAAAAACCAAACACAAAAACCCTAACTCCTAGCTCACCATGTCTGGCGACGACGAGAAGAAAGAGGTGCCTTTGGCGTCACCTTATACGATTCAAATCGGAGAACACAGTAGACAAGTAGATAGCAAAGTGAGAGGAAGTTGTTTAGACATGTTACAAGCTCTCAATTATTTTATTTTGTTACTATGTTCTCTAACCAGATATTGACGAAATGAAATACTTTCGGAATTTTTCTGATAAATAATGAAAGTATTATAGAAAAACTAGGTGTTTAGCCCGCGCCTTGCGTAGGCCGAAAAGTTTCAAAAACGTTAAAAAAATTTTAAAAGTTGTAAACACAAAAGAATTATAACAACCCATTTAAGACATACGAGATCAAAAACATAACTAATCCTAAAAAGTAAACACCATCCAAAACTAAAAACCAAAAAAATAATAGTAAATAAATATATAAAACCTATAACCAACTAAATTAAGATAAATGTGACTTCTTCGTTTTCTTTCTTTCCCCATTTTATACCGTTTGATTTTTCTTCTTTGTCGTCTTTGTCTTTTTTTCTTGTATTTCTCCTCATTTTTACCTTCTTCTACTTTGTCTTCCATGCATTTTCCTTCTTGCGCTTCACCTTTCTTCCGCTTCCGCTCTCCATTGCTCCCTCTTTCCCTCTCCCTCACTCATTCCCTCCATCTCTCTCTCTCTCTCACTCATTCCCTCTATCCTTCTCTCTCCCACTCATTCCCTCCATATAAATGTCTTTAAAGGCTTTTACTTCTCTCTTTACGTCTCTCTCTCTTCCTCCCTCTCACACAAACTTTTAAAACAATTTCCTCAAAGTTATGTAGTTAAACACAAGACCCACTGTGAAGCTAGGTAACTTTTCCTATCACGTGTACATGTAATTCTACTAAACGTAACCTAAAATCCCAAAAACAGATTCATGTTACCACATCCAAACCATCTTTGTTGTCCATGAAATTCACTCGACCAAAGTAATATGTCGCAACCGAATCCAATCAGGCTGCCAACGTCTAAGGTTGTTATCTGTGGCAAAATTTGCTAGGTTTTCTTTCTTCTTCGGTTTCTTATACTTTATTTTCTTTTTAATATTTTGGAGATATTTTTTGTAATTCCAAACATATTAATAGAAAAAGATGAACATTTCCTATAGTTTAGCTTGGATTTCATTTTAATTTGGGTATTTTAATAGAAAAAGATGAACCTATATATTAATAGAAAAAGTGCATCACAACACTCTTCTTCCTTCCGTTACATATATCATCATGCAAACTAAAAAAAAATTTATAGAAGATTTATAAAATATATCGATCATATAATAGATTAGCCAAAGAATTAGAACTGGACATGTGTTTTTAATCGTTGCACATTGTTATAAATTTATAATATCGGCTACAAAAATCTCTAGCAACCAGGAAGGAAAGTGGAAGCTTTGGCTATTTTCATTTGCCTTGGAACCAATTCTCCTTGGTATGATACACTGATCACCTCTGTGTAATTGGCCAGAGAAAAGATTCACCTCTGTATTCTTCATTCTTCTTCCCTTCTGTGGAGCTTAAGGCCACGATTTTGTGGCTATAAAACTTCCACTTTTACTTATTTTTCGACCATCTATCTCTCTCCCTCTCTAGTGTCTCTCACTTTTTTTGCATTTTCCCAGTTGAAAATACTCCATGAAAACTAATGGTTTTGTCGGTCATCAATAGATAAGACACAATTTAATATATCACTCTCGCTCTCTCTTGTTTGTCAAAAGACGCCCACCAAGTGGGAACAAAAAATATATTCTCTTAATTTGAATGTTAAACAGTTGAAAGTTTTCTTTTTGTTCAACCAATTTTGTTAACTTCTCTATTTGAATTTTTTTTCAACTCTTTTTCTCTGATGGGTTGTTGATCAACTTTGGAAACCGGAGCTAATTTCTGATTCAACCAAATCTTTTCCCTTTATTCCCCTTGATTTGATCGTATGATTACAGAAGCTTGGTTTCTCGACAAAACCTGGAAAAACTGTTAGATCAACTATATGGCTAAAGATAAAACCCAGAAGATACACTAGCTTGTCCTCTGTTAGAAGCTTATAAGCTTGCAAAATGATTTAGAGATCATTTGCGTAATTTAACCTATTGACGTTTTGTCTCTCGTCTTGGCTTTAAAGAAATCCTAAATCACTTTTTTTTTCTCCTTTCACAGTTTTCTCGGCAGTCAAACTGGTCCAAGACAAGCTTTTAAAAAAAAACCTGAATCTTGGCATCGAAAGAAAGTTTGTCTGAAAATTAATTACTTCTGCTGCAACTTGCAACACTTGTATGGCTTTATTTAAAAGAGAACAATACCAGAAGAAATCCAGATACAATCGTTGTTGCTCTTCAGGGAAGTTTAGTATTCAGAAGAATTACAGATACTTTACTCTGCAGTCTCTTTAAGGGAAATGTATTTGTTTTTAAACCTTAAACCATTGTTTTGGTTTTTTTTAAAAAATATACGGTATGATAATGGTTTGTTAACTTAATTTAAACTATTATTTTCATTTTTTTAATATATATTTTTATAAAACTTAATTTAAACTAATTTAAGAAGAGGTAAAGGGTAATTAGCCGCCAATTATTTATTTTTTAAACTCTAAACTGTTGTTTTTGATTTTTTTTTAATATACGGTATGATAATGGTTTGTTAACTTAATTTAAACCATTATTTTCGTTTTTTTATTATATATTTTTATAAAAATTAATTTAAACTAATTTAATGAGGGGTAAATGATAACACCGTATTTTGACCACTTTTATGGATCATAATTGTATCTTATGCAGGTGTTTTAACTCTGTTTTCAATGTTTTTAAAGTGTTTTCAATGTTTTAGAGTTTCAAAATACTTTAC